GTCTACTTAGCTTCATCATCGCTTTGCAGTCAATTGAAAACAAGTTTAGGCAACACGCGCTCGTAAAAAACATGAACGTGAGGCAATACCCTGCACTACATATCCTGCACTGGCATCAGACGCTACATCTAGGCGCAGCGGTGAGTGAACGACGCTTCGTTTAGACTGTCAAACGCGACTCGCAAAGCTCCAACGTCTCAGCAAATCAGGAGATGTAGTGGTTGTCAGCCTCTTCGAGCAACAAAGGCACTGCTTCAGCCTGTTTTACCACACCCACTACCCGCGCTACGGGAAGAACGAAACTGAAGCTGTAGCAAAAGGTCTGTAAACATTTCACTGGCTACACTATCTAACCCGAAGCCTGTACTTCCCATAATTCCCATGGGGGTACACGATCACAGCGTCAGATTACTCTCTACGTATTATTGTATGAAACTTCATGATATGAAGTGAACAAAACAAACAGCGTTCTCGGCTCGGCGTTGACGTTTCACAGCGGCGCCTCGAGCACACTTTTCTGGATGCTCTTAAGAGGCGTCCAGCCCACGAACGGTGGAAAGTCAGGCGGGAGCGGATGAGAAAAAGGGGCGCAGAAAGGCATAGAGTTTCTAATATACACTAGAGGGAACTCTGGCGCTAATGTCTATGGAAGCTGCAACGCTCGGCACTTCAGCGAGCATGGGAATGATGGCTAGCCCACACATTTGTCTAATACTTGTACTTCTGGCCTGCTTCTGGCTCCGTGTGTGTTCATGTGGCTTGAAGCTGTTTTCTCACGAAACAAAAAATTCAGCAAATGTTCAGTGGTTGTGTTTCACCACCTTAATTTTTTGAAAGCTTACCTTTTCAAATCAGGTCACGAAGTTCAAAAGGGTTTTTTTTTTAATTGAAACCGTATACCCAGCAATAAAAGAAGCCGCGAGTACGATTCGCCGCCCGCAAGTACGAAGACTAGGCATATGTGTGTATACTACCCGTCAATTCCCATGGTCGTGAATGATCGCAGCGCCAGAGTGCCCTCTAGTTAATTTTAAGAAACTCTATGCAGAAAGGAGAGAGAGCGAACAGCGAGAGAAGGATCGGTGATGCACTCAAGGAGGTTATAAAAAAATGCTGGAGTGGAAATACTTGTCCACGAGTGAAGCCACGGAGGAAGGAAAGGTAGCAGAGGGCATGCCCAGCCAGCGCGATACGTGAAACGTGTGGAGGAAATGACATCATGGTGGCCATATTCACTGGGCACAATGGCAGCGTTGCTATGGTTACGTGTTGCGACGTGGAGATAGTCTAGCAGTGAGCGGCCGTGGCTGGCGGTGGCATATGTGTCTCCGCAGGTCTTGTGCTGAGCCGTGTCGGACAATATCAGTGCTCTGCGCCGCGTTATTGGTTACGCAGTATTCTCCTGGCAGTTGCTGTACTCTTAGCAACGTTTACAAAATTTTTGTCCATCACGGGGTTTCAACAGTGCGTAGAAGGAGTGCATATTCACGTGTTGGCAGCGGATGACAGGGATGAAGCAATTAGTGTTCTGCGAAACTGCGTTGGACACCATGACGAAGCGGAACGACGACGAACACTTTGCAGGTTCAGTAACGGTTGGGCAGTGCTCCTGCTTGTGTCAACGGACGACGGTGTTGAGCTGTTGAGCTCAGCAAGACGCAATGAGGACCTATGCGTACATACGTAGTTTTCGTGTTGTGTGTGTACAGTACCAACTTACATGTGCGTAATAAAACACCTTTTCTGTTCCGCTTCGTATATACTCTCCCCCAGAATTGCATGTCATCTCAACGTAACAGCAACCGCGTTCAAGTGTCACTTGCACCGTGCTCAAAGTCACCACGGTCGCAGAATGCTGACGTCGGTGAGTTTCACGCGGAACACGGACACAGTGGCCAGACGCTGCGTCGGCCACATGGCGGAATGCAACCGTAGAAGGCACACGACCGATCGTGTTGTCTGTACAGTTGCTGAATTAATGAGGTGAAACACTCGCCGTTGTCAGTGCATCTAGCATGCGTTCTCTTGTACTTGCTTCGTTGTCTGTGAGCTTTACTCGCTGTTAATACTCGGAGGAAATGATTTCGCCGAAGGTGTCGCACTGGCCCAGAGAGTTGAGCTCCGTTCCATTAGTTTCGGATCGTCACGACACGCGCGCTGCGCAGCTCACGTGCTTTCCGAGCTGAAAAGAGAGTCGTGCCTCCTGCTTTACATTAGGATGTAAACAAGAGAGGAGAATTTTGCCCAGTCAATATGACCGACTTCCAGCTTCATCGCGGCTTCACAACGAGTGACGTGAGGGCCTCTCCTACCTTTCCTTCCTCCGTGAGTGAAGCCGTGCCAACTAGTACGATGGCGGCTGCGGCAGCCATCTTACTAGGGGCGTTATGAGCTGCTGGCGTTCGGCGCTCGAGAAGGAGCATTACCTTTGCACGCCCAACAAGTTTAACGTGGCAACTTTTTAGGGTAAGGTAGTGCTCAAAGTGCGTCCTTGTGTTACTAGTTTTTTTTTCAGTAAGCTTCGCAATTAAGGCAAATTTCATTGGAGATTAAGTCACCGGTACTAGTCATAGGGGACGATTTCTTCGGAAACAAATATGTTTTAATGTATAATTAACGTAGCATTTAGTCTAACAAATCAAAGCCACTTGATGTCTAATTGAGTACGATCAGAAAATAGCATGCTTCTGAGATCTTTGGAGGGCAGAAGCTGGCTTCACCACAGATGGCAAAGTATTGCGGGAGGTTCCACTCAAGCACTTCATAAATTCTACCCGAAGTGCTATGCAGACCGTTGCCCGGCTGTGGAAACTCGCCCACAACCTTCCGTGTCTAGCTCGATCGAGTGCACTGCGAACATCTTTCCTACCCTTACCTGCTTTCCTTCACCCTTTGCGTAACGAGAAGCTGCGGGACGATGCTCTCCGCGATGGACCTCCCGAGGTCCTCCGAGCTCAGATACAGCGGGCTCGGCTCGTCGCTGGAGTCGTCCTAGGGACCCTGGGCTAGGGGTTCCTTCCACGCCCTCCTTCTCCATGCTTTGTGAATAAAGACGTTGCTCTCTCTCTCTCTCTCCGCTCCAGCAATTATTTTTCAAGCCTCCTTGGAAGCACTTCACCTGTCATTGTAACTGACGGTAATTATGCCAGCGTCTTATAAACACATATGTTAAACAAACGCTGGCAGCACATTCGCTACAAACGCGTTTCAAACGCACTGCATTTGGGCACTGTGGCAAGTCACGTTCAAGTCAAGGAGGCGGGGCTCCGGATGCTCGGGAAGCGCGCGCCCGCAGCTGTTGCTAAGGGAGAGGGTGGTGGACGGATCATACAAACGCCTCACAGAGCCCGACTCAGAAATGGATTCACATTAAAAAAAACTTATATAAAATCAATGTTTCTTTGCAGAACCTAAAACAGTGCTGGAGCTACTTGGCTTGTTTTAGTTGTGCTACTCAACCGTTCCGAAATTTCTGCGTTTACCTAGTAGCTAGGCCTTTTCAAAAACCACAAAAATCTTCGAAGTTCGCCATTTTTTTCTATGCTAGCTTGAACTCTCTTTAAGCAATTTTAATATTATTGTGGTTTTAAGGAAAGTTTACTTTTGTGCAAAATGTTTATGGACAAACAGACTTTATAGCTTGTCGAAAACAACTTTGAAATTAGCGAAAATACGCGTTTTGCCCCACATTTGATTATATTTATACGTTTTCATGATTTCCAACTTAGGGCCTGCCACTAATGTTCACCATGCAGTCATGCAGTACCGTACAAGTTTTGCAATATGTCATGTGAACGAAACCACCGCAAGAGCAACAAGACAAATAATGAATTGTAAATTATCACAATCATGACATTCATATCATAATTTTTACGTTATAACCAGTCACTTATGCTCGTCATACAGTCATGTTATGCCATACCAATTTTGGTATTCACAACTTCCAGGTATCGTGGCACCGCTGAGCGATGGCGTCTAGAAGCTCTGTTCAGATGATTGAAGTTTTGAACCTGCTCTAAACAACAGACACTGCAGCTTGTTTTCACGCGTTCGTAGTCGTTTTTCAACGTTGTGAATGGCCTCGATATTACAATAACCCTTTGAGTTTCTCAAGTTGAAGGGAAGGTAGAAAGAAAAACAAAAGGCCGACTGATTTCACTGCTAGCCTCGACGTTCACAGCCTCTTTGCACCAAGAGGAAACTTTAGCGTCCCTATCAAGTTGGCACCCCAAAAAGCTATCAGGAGTTAAGGGGTTAAATTTAGCAGGCAAATAACCAAGGCCCGTGAATCTATGCAGGACCCATTTTCTGCACAAGTACAGCAACTTCCGCGTTTACAGTTCTCGCGTTTAGTTCGTATGCTCGATGCGTTCCGCTTCTAGAACAAAATGAAAGGACCGGTTTGTAAACGTTCATCGCGCTATTACACATATGAGGAGTCTGTGAAGTGCTCACATGACCTTCACATATAAAGTAATTTGTGCAGCGTTGCGCGCGGTTACGTACAGCTAGCAATGTGAACATCGTCGTACGTGTGGGCCTTATTTGCGTTATTTGCCTTATTTGCGTTATTTCCGGCTAGATAGATAGATACCGGCTAGATAGATAGATAGATAGATAGATAGATAGATAGATAGATAGATAGATAGATAGATAGATAGATAGACAGACAGACAGATGCAGCCAAAGTCGCCGAACTTCGCTAACAAATGCTTGCCATTTATTAAATTTTAGTACTCATTTTGTTTTCAAATTACACACAGGAATGTTGCGCTTGAGCAGTCATCAGCTTTTACTCGTACTGCGGCGAAAACGTCACGAGCTAAACTGCGATTGCCGACGAAGAAGAAAAAGAAGAGCCGTGGAGAATGGCGGCGTCGCCACCGCGTCTTGCTCCGTCCCCGGTGGCGTCGCCTGCTTCGTCACTCGGAAAAGTTACCCGAATTTCTCGCCACACTCCTCGCCAGCATTTGCCTCCCGGATCACCGAGTTATGGCCGAATGCAGCTAGGCACACCGACTGTTGGAGGTACTGAGTCGGTGGAGCTGTACACCAATGACCAGGGCCCGGTGACTCTGTTCACATCCATGGTCGCTGGTTGGGCGAGCTCCCTTTCTATGGGAACCTCCATAGGCTACTCACTGGCTGCTGGACGGAGCCTCACACACGCCAGGGACGATGCTACCGCAAGTGTCGACCAGAAACTCTTCTGGTAAGGCGCCTTTCACATTGGCAGAGTAGTTTGAAACATGCCCTCGTTTTTTGAAACAGGGCTGTCGAGATATAATGTTGGATACCACCCAGTAGCGGACGGCGTCTGGTAACACCATGCGCATATGGGAACTAGTAAGGCCTGTTCAAGAGATATACTTTAATCTAAAAAAATGTTAGCGTACAGAACAATACATAATGGGTTGCCGGGCTTCGGGTTTGGTTTCGGTTTCAAAATAAGTTGCTCGGTATAGGGGCGCTGTATAAATGTACATATTAGGGAGGCTACATGACTACAGCAGTCATGTAGGCTCCCTAGTACATATAGAAACGCTTGAGTACATAAAAAGAAAGTTTCTGCCGGGGTTGCAGCGGTGTCACTTTTCTTCCTTCTCGACCGGTGTTTCGGGTGCCGGGCCTTTGTTCTTCGAGCGTTATGTCTGAGGTATGATGAAAATAATTGGCAACGAAATTGGGATACAAGCACAGATAATAAAGTGCCCGAAGTGCCGGCCAGGAAGGAGAAGTGACACAGCCGAGACCCGGGCAGAAACTTGATCTTTTCATGTACACACCTTTAGGGGCCAGAGAAGTGGTTCCAGAACCGAAACCTCAGCACCACATCATCCTCTCTTCAAATGAAGAACATGTTGCGTCCAAACTCGTAACGAATGCAAAATAAGAATAAAAATGTTCTGCGTACACAGAAAAATACAAATGTACAGAAACGTATAGCATGCATGCGCACCAAGCTTCAAATACTTGATATGATTTAATTAAGAAATATGCAGCAATGTACACTTAAAGGAAGAAAACACCTCACGATCCCCTCCCTAAAACGAGGATGTCTACACAGTCATTGATGCATTTTGGTCTACGGTGTCTACGCCTGTAGTTTTGCCATTCACGTGCAACGTGACGGAAATGTAGTAACCAACGATGTGCCGACGAGGCAGAAGGAGCACAAACTACAGGCGACGTCTCAACCTTTCCGGAAGGACGCTTGTTCCCCTGGCTTCTGCAGTGAACTTGGAGAACGAGGACAGGCACACTTGAGACCGGCATGGCATGTGAATATGCCTCCGAGGCAAGAATATCAGTAATAGTCTCAATTACATTATCACCCACAGTTGGAGGACTTGCAGCCGGAGTATGCACAGTAGTAGGTATACGGTGGCCGTAGCAGGAACAGTAGGAGAACGCGCCGCCGGAACACGAAAAGGTGCTGCATGGGCCAGAGTAACAGACCTGATCTTAGGAGGCATCGCTGAAGCAGAAGCAGTCACATTCTATGCCGTAAGGTCTGGCATTCGAAGAAGAGGCAGCATTTACATGTGTGGTACATCAACAGCACGTGCAGCGATAGTCGTATGCCGTATACCACCCTATGTCTGGCGCGCGGTAGCAGGGTACTAGAAATTTATTTTAACGCCTGTCTTCATTTCGACGTGCCCTAATGCCCTTACGTACGTAGTGCTTGGTGATGGTTTGCAGCACTGCGGGAAAACTTCGCATGTGTGGTGTAGTAAAATTTTGTCAACCTATCAACGAACCATTTTCTTGTGTATGCCTTCTTTTGTTTTATTTATTGGTTTCTGTTCTTGCGTTATTATTACCGATGTATTTTTCTTTATTCTTTGAAATGACTTTCGTTATTTATTATGTAACGTAGATTTTGCAAAGTGCTACTTTTGACCCACGCTGTAACGGCCAACAGGCCAACAGAATGAGTAAATATATTAGCGAGCGTTGCAATCTGAAAGCATTCTGGTAATACCTAACATGTTCTTTCATGCCTAATAAACTAAAAGGATGCGGAACGGTCCCTGGCGTTGCTTATTACCATAATAAAATGGCAAAGAGATGGCCACAAGTGGCGACAAAGGTCTCACATGAAGCTTTGTCTGTGGACAGGAGCTGCCAGAAGAAGCATCTGTATCCTAGGGGTGGCACAGGAAAGAAACGCTAGATGGTACATTTGTTGAAACGGGTACCTTTATCATACGCGATAGCGTATCTAAGTCTACCTCGTCCCTTTTCGCTTTTGAAAGTGTGGTAGAATATTTGATGCAATCCAGATATAGCGTATTTAGCCACGAATTGCCACGTAGGGTTAGGATTGGCTCAATTAGGGTTGGTTTACCGAATGATGTCTTGTATAACTCCATAGTGCGCGTTACGTATATGGCGTACGAGTTTCTGAGGATGGCTAATGTCCTTTTTAATTTTTTCAACACGGGATTACTTTAGGTTTTCGAAGGCGTTACTGTAACTTCGATCCTCGATATCTTTCTGTAATAGCAGTACACAATATTCTGTTACGATTGGTAAGTAAAATAAATATGAAGGAAAAGTTATGTGAAAACGATATATTCTCGAACATGCTTTCATGAAGTAATAACACTTTAACCGAAAGAAAAAAATAAAATGCCGCGATGACGAGTGCTTTCTAGACCAACTGCGCATCGAAATTCTCTTTAGGTGTACAACTTTGTGGCGTCCTTTCATGCGCCCTTCTAACGCATTAACTAGTTCTTGTTAATATGTGAGAAGTACAGGTTCGTTCATTTTAAAACTTTGTGAAAGCAGAGCCGTAGAGAAAAATACTAAAGCAGATAGCCAATAATAATTTCCAAACTAATAATCGCCACTGGAGACCTTCATGCAGCACTGGTAAAAACTGGGATGAAAACAATGATGATGAATTTTAGTATTATGCCGTGCTGAAAACAAGTATCTCCAACTAGGTACAATCAGCTACTACATGAAAGGTTGCAAAGGCAAACCAGAAATTAAAAATATTCCGCAATTGTTCATTTGTTAGGCAGTGTGACAATTCACACGAAAGTCTGAGTGTTTGCAAGAAGCGGTGGTATTTGGAACTGCAGGTTCGATTCCTTGTTGCCACTGGGTGCCATGTTTGGAGTGCTTTGGGGATGTTGCCTGGCGTTCTGGCTCGGTCGCCGTTGGCCTATGGCGATCGGTTCCTTGGGCTCGTTGTGCGCATGGCTAGTCATCGCTAGGGCACCTGCAGACTCCTGGAACCTCTACGTAGCAAGGTTCATGGTTGGCGTCTCCACCGGTGTCGTCTCGCTCGTGGTGCCTGCGTACATCGCTGAAATTGCAACGGCCAAGGACCGTGGAAAGCAGGTGCTGCTTATTGTTGACTATTAAATGCACCTACATCGCAGAAATAAGCAAAAACAAACAAGCAGTTCTGTCAGAGAGGAAAAAAAACAATAACGCTCAAAGAAACTGCCTAGTCTTGCAAGTTGAAAAACACCCGATGGTGAATCTTTTCAGAGAACTCCACTATAGCACCTTCGAATAAATCAGAGTTACGGGTCATTAAACCTCAACATTTTTCGTTACTATTCTCACAGTCAAAATGAGTGTGCGAGACAACGGAAGATAACGTGGCAGCTTTAATGAGCTGAAGAAACTTGCAGTCGAAACGAGTGATGGCCACAATGCATGTTGGCAAATGGAATGTAAATGACCTGTTCTGTGCACTGCATTAAACGTTGCTGAATATAGTATTTTAGATCAGCGCATTTAGATTGGTAGCTTTGTGCAGAGTAAAAAAAAAACGTGCGTGCAGTTTGCTGAACATTCTTAGAGTAGATAAGTGTCAAGTACTTCTGAGCAAATAGTTGGATAACCAATCCCCATATGAACGCAAAGTTTGAATCCGAACTGATTCCTCACTTTTCGTTTTCAGGCCCTGTTGAGAATGTTTATTATTCGACGTAAAGTCTAAGAAAGCTTGGAGTGAACTCTAAATTCGCTTAGGACTATCAAATTATTATCAGTAATACTCTGTATACCATACCATAGCAAATTATTATCTCGTTTGTGTGAAGCCACTTGCCTAGCATGAAACGAGACTCATGAAGCCGACGACAGGGATTGCAAGAACTTCCGAAGGTGTCAAGTGCAGTGGGAAAGGTGCACCTGTGCTAGCAATGAACGAGTAAATATAATATACTTGTCTATTATCGCTATCTCCGGGTAATACTTATACATTGTTACACTCCTTTAAAATATTGCTTAAATCACAGTGCGGGACAATACAGACTTGCATAGTCGCGGGCACGCTATACACGTACGTGGTGGCACATTTCACGGACTGGTCGCGGATAGCCCTGTGGTGCGCGGTGCCATCGGCATTGTCTGTGGTGCTCACCATGCGAGCAGTCGAGTCTCCCCGCTGGCTTATGGAACGCGGCAAGCACGATGAGGCCCAGGTAGCGTTGAGGCGGATACGCTTCATCACTTCGCAGGCAGATGGTGAACTGCAGGTAAGACCGCATATTACTAATAACTTAAAAGTGCCTGTTGGTAGAAGTTGCACACAAAAAAGCATTGCTGTACCAAGCGGCATACTCTGTGGGAAGTCACAATTTTTTAGTCGGCCAATGCGGCTATGACACACTATATATATATAGAAACTACAGCTGCAGACGCAGACACCTGCCGCATTTTATTGCGATTGAAACAAGTGACGTTACGCAAAGGCTCGAATTGCCGCTGGTTACCTCGGTTGCTATAGCGAAATATATTGAAAGACCTTTTGCATTGAAGTTGCATCACCCTCTTTATATATATATATCTTCAACTCACCAAAATATATACGCTGTTGGTGCTTCATCTCGTCGAACGTGCCTCGCAAGAAGCCAATGAGAGTACCCACCGAAAGTGTATATCTTACACACTGCCCCATGTCCGACTCACACACAGAGCGATTTGCAGCACCGCTTAGGTACCAGCACATGTCACGCTCTTCCTTTTATGCTTTATAAAAAAGCTACGTTCTTGTTTGTGGTAAGGAAATCTATCGCATACTAAAGGACAAAAGCATCACCCGGCCGCGCTCTCGGGTGGTTCGCCGCTTAAATGGGATCCATCAGGAGAAGCTCCACGAGTCTGATTGAGCTGGCCCCCTCCAAGCTACGAAGTCTTGGTTTTCGTGACCACGGGAAACTCCCCGCCGGCCCGCAGTTGTGAAAAAAGAAATCATCGTACCATTTATAATGAAATCGCACAGCATTTTCATCTAGGTAAGGGAGACATCCCCCTTCCTAACGAAAAGTTCAATCAAACACAGGCATTGACTTCCAGATGATTTTAGGCGGGTTCGTATCTAAGCCCAGCTTGATTGCAGAAAATTTATCCCTCCATTTGTTCCAATAGCTCCTGCTGGCGCTGCAACGAATTCGCTAGCCTAGATCACATTCTGTGGCACTGCTCCTCGTTACGAAGCATAGACCAATTCATTGAAGACAAGTGTCTATCCATTAACAAAATCTGCAAGCTCGGGGCTTAGCTTTGGGTTGTGCAGAGAGTCCACAATGCGGCTATCGGAATTGCCCTGACCATTCCAAAGTGGGAGCGGCTCGTTGCGTTTTGGTCTTGCACCTCAGTAGTAAAATTTTTCATTCATCCATTTCCGTTCGCATTCATTGTCGTTGTCAATCTGTTGTTCCAATGAGATAATTCCACCTCGGAAAGAACGTGAATTGCTGAATGAAAGCTCGCACCTCTCAGTTATGATCGACCGTCATTTTATATAAGGCCATCTGCTCTATCTGATGTCTGTTGTCAGTTTATTTTCAATAACTCCTCTATATTTTTGCGCCGCAGGAGATTGAAGTCATTTACGTCAAGTTGCCGACTCCGCTCCGCCACTACATGCTCGCCGTGATGATCATAGTGCTGCAGCAGTTCTCCGGGGTCAACATAATCCTGAGCTTCGCTACCGGACCCATGCATACCACGACATCGTTGACATCACGTGACTTCTACGTCACACTTGCGACTCTACAGGTACGGAGCTTAGAACGCTGGTATCCCTTGCAACTCAGCTTATATACCTTGCCCTAATATAAAAGCAATGGTGTATTTGCCTGAAAAGTGGTATTACGCGCCATGGTATACTTAAACTCTTGAGTTCTCTGATACGTATGGTACAGCTCATAATCACGTTCTCCTTGTAATATGCGAAAGTATGAATTTATTTATTTTTTTTCGATATTCTACAATGTTGCTTCACTGTAGACGGCTCAAATAAGTTTTGAGACTACTTTGGTATGGAGAACACTTGAGCCATTGTCATTAGGGCATGATAGTTTGAGTGATAGTGTAACAGTCCGCCTCTTTTAAAAAAGGCAAGGTGCAATATGTTTTTTTACTGTCCCTCGTTTTGTGAAAAGTACAATTTAATAGACTTAAATAGTCGTTACAGGAAAGTTTCCATTATATGAGGCACGACTTTTAAAACTGTGCTAGAATTTAGGTTGTTCCGGGACACCAGTTTAGGTCTGACTCTTTGAAGTATATACATACACCATTTTAATGAATTGTTCGAATTATATATCCTGAATATCATATGCATTTGTACTTATGCTACTTGTACTATCATCGTAGGCTACACGAAAAAGACATCGGGAAATGTGCAGATTTTAAAAAGTAGTGACTTAGTGCCCGTGGCATTGGTATGACTCTGGGCATATGAAGAAGTTGTTCGACAAACAGGCGACTAAGTGCCTGCGTTTTGTTGTAACATCACCCCATATCAATTGCACAAAATGCATGTAATTAGTGAACTGATGTACCAAAAGTAGCTTTTTGTTATGCGAGATAATAAGTGCTGTCAATAAATATACTTGCTATTGTACCATGCCTTTCTATGTCCTCCGGACAGATATACTACGCCAGTAAGGAATCTCTTCACGCTTTTTGAACTTTTGCAAAAATATTCAATAGCTCTTCATTCACGCCATTTTTAATATCCAAATAAAACCCTACGCTCTACCTAGATGTGAAGACGCTGCATGAATTTCGACCATTTGTTTTATTTCTCTAATCATGAGCTTAATTTGCTTCTTTGAGCAATATATGGCGCGAATGTCAGTGCTTCTGACGTTACTGATGATTTCGAACGAGCGGTAACAAGAATCAGAAACAGAAAGAAAAAAAGGAGGTTCGTTTTGCATGGCAATGTTTCCGGAGCCGAAAGCTACCGTTGTTCGCCCTTCTAAGAGTTCTTTCATCGATGAAAATCGTCAAGCGGCTGCGCAAGAACCGAGGCGTTTTCAGGGCCAGCGTCGCGCGAATTATTACGCTCCTGATCGATTAGCTGCAGGCCTCCATTACCGATGCCGCACAAGTGGACGGTCGCGTTGCCTACCTGTTGCAGAAGAATGTAGAGTTCGTCCACCTGAATAAGAAAATCTTCGACGCAACGCAACTGACGACTACGCTTACAAAGTAGAGCCCGAGGACACGAAAAAGTACAACCGAAAGGTCTACGCCATGTCTCGAGCGTGGTTCTTCCTCCGAGAGATTGCAAGCAAAGCGACGGGGCTGAGTGCTGCGCGAAACGAGCGCTGACGCTTGCGGGGCCAGCACCTCAACACACAAGGTTAGTAACCCCTCACTTCGAGTAGCAGGTATCACAAAAGTCAAGAAACCGTGCCACATGATCGTTAAGTGGTCCTGGTGAACCTGCAGGTCTTTACGCTTTCCGGCTTTCCGGTGCAATGCTCGATTGGCAGTCCTTCTGGGATCACATCAGAGCTTATCATATCATATCACTGGACGAGGCACGGAAAATCCTTCAGCGACATCCGTCCCAAGTGCCCTGAGCTGAGTAAAAGCAGTCCTGCAAAGAGGACGAGAGTGGGTTGAGTGCTGGACATGAAGGCGTCTCGTACGCGCTTGGTTATCGAAAGCGAAGAACTTTCGTTAGTTATGTTCGGCCACTCGAACCAGCGCTCATAAGTAGGGCACAGCATACGGGTAGCTTCGACCCCGTAAGGGCCAATGGAGGGACACAGCGGTAATTGTGGAGACCTTAGAGCTACCTGATTCGTGTACGGTCACAAGCTCACTGGTTAACAGTAATATCTTGGGGCTCCTAAGCGAGAAAAACCATGACGTCGCAGACAAATATCATTCCGACATATGGCGCTCACAAGCAATAAGTGTGCTACTTGGGCCTGACATCTACAGTAGCATATGGAATGATAAATCACTTGTCCAGTTCTTTGACAGTCGTGAAAACGAAATTTGGATGGGCCGTTAAGAGAACAATAAAAACAGAAGAAAGTTCACGGACTAGCATTTCATATTTGCGCTGCAGTAAACCTTTCCTTCCTGACTGCGATGCTTGT